TCTTCTAAGCCTCTCCCTTTTAGAGCAAAATTTTTAAAAAGAAATCTGACAGAATGGAGCAAGGAATAGCATACAACAATGATATAGACCACATTTAGGCTGATCAACACGTCCCAGCTTCTGACTGACTGTAAAATGCCTCTTACTTATTTAAATGCTCTCTGGATAGAAATTAAGAGCAAAAAAAAAAAAAGGAGTCTCTGTAATAAAGTGCCATGAAGAGCACAATGATTTTTACGTACTTTCTCATAATCCTATACAATTCCTGTCCTCGGGAGGGTGCAGTTTGACATTATCACAAAAATGCCATATTTTTTTATCCATCAGACATTGAGATACAATTACATAATGTTTTAAGTGACAATATAATTTTTACATGTTGACACTTTGTCATTATCACTGTTTACTGCAGATATTATAGTACAAGTCAGAAAAATGTGAAATATTTAAAAAAATCGTATCCCCCAAATTCTCTTTGATTAAAGGCACTAAACAAAGTTCCTAGTCCTTCCACATAAAAAGTATGCAAAAAGTATGTTATATTTTTCTTCTTATTTTTTTAGAAAGTATTTAAAATATTTTTAAGCGTTCTAGCCTCCCTACTACTTGGATCTAGAAAACTGTCTAATAGTTACAATTAGCATGTTAGTTTATCTGAGTATCTGCTCAATCTTTCAGAACACCTTTTGTGAAAATTCATAAATTATTTGTTTCAAGTAATGTGTTCCAATTGCAAAAAGTTAAACAGACTATTATTCTCTACCAATTTTATTCCCACCTTGGTTATTTGTTCATGTTTACGCTCCAACTCTCTGATTTCCTGATTTAGCATCACAATAACATGCTGTGGTTGGCTCCTACATTTATTGCAGATTCCATGCTGTGTCAATTCATCACACACAGGGCAATGTAGGGTAGTGAAATATTGGGAAATTGTTCCTTTTCGGCATTCTTGCTCAGTGCGAGAAATTGTGGACACTTTCTGGATCTATATGGCACATCAAACAAAGTAAAATATATTTTGTAGGATACATATGTACAAAAGCTTTTCCTCCGTCAGCATCACTTTATCTTCATTTATATTTTCCTCACTATGTCTTGTCATTCTACGTTCCTTAATACATATCAAGAACTGTTCGCAAAGGTCAACCAATTTATTTTATCTTTGAGAGTTTCACAGTTTTGAAGTTATGATTTGATTTAAGGGAGAGCCAATGGAATCTCCAAAGTGTTAAATTAAATCAAAGAGCCACAGGAATAATATTTCAAACATTTATTGTGGTGGAAGCTTTGAGGATGGTGATGTTCTCTAAAAGGTCCATAATTTTTGCTATTAACACAATGAAGCAGCTGCTGGAAATTTGACGCTTCTTTAATACAGGTAGCATTGAATAATTCAATACTAGATGTATTGAAAAAAATTCTTTAAAAAATCATCTGACATGTGAAGCAGTAAAAGTAACAAAGTTGAATAATTCAGCTCAAATCTTGCCATTCTTAAATATTAAATTCAATTTGAAAGCCAGGTAATTTGATACATTTTAAAATTGGTATATTGTAAATATACCTCATTTTTTCACTTCCACTGTTACAATCATGCATTATATTATATTTACTATTTTACTTACTCACCCTTGGTAATTCATTATACCAACCGAAAACATCTATGCCAATGAGAGATAAGATCCTAGCCAGGGGAGGAAGAATCTGCTTCGTTATATAGTAGGTTGCATTCAGCCTCAGATTTGGGTCTTGCAAAACATCAATGGGCCGTCTAACCAACTGTATGAGAGGCAATCCTGGCATGCCATAAACAATGACATATGGAACTCTTTCACCAACACGTGGTTCAGACCGTCGGTCATAAGCAAGCATCTTTCTGTGGGGAGATACATTAGGTTTCAAAATCCATCTGCTGCATTTAGAAGTGACAGAAACCCCAAAATTCAAAGAGACTTTAATTTTAGGTTCCAGCACAAAACCGCGGTGGACAAAAGCGCGCTCGACGAAAGCGCGCACGTGACGTCATCACAGCGTGACGAAAACATCGCGCTGTGATCGGTAAATATAAAATTAAAGCGAAAACCTTACCCTAACCCCCCCAAACCTAACCCTAAACCTAACCCTAAACCTAACCCTA